CATCAGTCCCATTCTCTGTGCCAGTAAACTGAAGGGGAAGGGCCATGACACCAATCACAGCATGTGATTAATCCTCTGTGTCGAGGAATACTGAAATTATTTAACCAGAAAGACTGACATTGTGGCAGCTGGGAACAGCTATGGTTTGAAGGTGGGTATTATAGTCTCAATTTGTAACACTGCCTAGGAGACTTTTTTTTTAAATTAGCATGGAATTGGCTTTAACTGCTTTCCTGCCACCCTATAGTAGAACTACTTCAAAGTCACATGTATATATACATGATTCGCATTTCCAGGCCATTGGTGGCTGGGGATGCCATTCACTGGGTCCTGGATGAAGATTCCCCGCTGGCATCCAGCGATCACCATGTAAAGCTGACAGGGGAGAGACCTGTGTGTAAACAACACAGGGCAGGACATGCTGCTTTGTATTTCTCTGCACAGCAGAGGTGGTGTGGTGTGGTGTGCTTACGTTTGTTGTGGTGCATGTCCATTTTCTGATCTGTTTTGGTGCTTTGGTAGCCAAAATGATTGGGTTGCATTAATACAACATAGGTTAACCTGAGTCATAACATGTTTTAACAAATCCTAATGGATCAGAAAGGTAGGAATGGGCCTTGATCTGTACACTATCTCTGTGTATCCTTGATAGTTGTATACATACACATTTTGGTAAGGCAATAGATTTTACCTTTTATTTCAGTTTATTAAGCTGCAAAGCGTTTCAGCTTCCAATCTCTAAGTGTTAACAACAGTATGTTACTGTAGCACTGGGACATTTTTTGAGAGGTAAATTGAAAATAAATTTTTGGACAAAGCATGTGATTTGACACTGAGTTTTCAAGAAAAAGATCTATGCATTAATTTGTTGGAATCGTTAGAGATTTTGTCACATTAACAAAGCATTCTAGCATAACTGAGCATTATGATTGGGTAGAGTTTCAGCAGTTTCTCATAAAAGCTTGTTCCCTCTCCAACCTTTTAATACAGTCCTATCAGCTTGGGGAGCAACCCATTATACTGATGGGCCAATAGGACTGTGATTGGAACTTTGCTCAATCAGATCGCCTGGGCATTTGGGTAAAAGTGGATGCTGAAAGCAACTCAGGAATATGCAGGAATGTGTGGGTTCCTGCACTTCAAACATGTCGGTCACTTTCAGTATCCTAAAAGTCCAAATCAACTTGTAGAAAGGTGTAGTGTGGCCTCCTTGCATAGGTGGCGCTGTGACAGCTGCTGACATGCAGAGAGGGTGGAGGATAGGAGGAATTCCTGTTCCTATGAGGCCTCCGTAGGTGTCACTAGGGGAGCAGCTGTCTGATTTAATGCTGCTGCCCTGAATGATCTTGGTGGCCATCTTTAGTGTAGGAAGTGCCAACAAATAGCTCTGGCCCACTGCAGTTGGTGCACATTTGCGAAGTGGCTAGATCAGGGACAGAAATCCGCTGGTCGGGGACAGCGTGTTTAGCATAGATAAAGGTAGCAGTGGAGGAGGGACAGAGTAGGGACTGCACGCCTGTGTTGCCAGCCAGGAGCTCTTCCCATCTTTCAGTGGCTTTTAGCCACTTCCTTCATCAGTTGTTGAGGGGCATTGTAAGCTGTTTAGAGTATCTTCTGTAATACTGACAATGTGTTAGCAGGCCTTCTATTAGGCTAGGTTCACACCTATGCAGATTGCATTTGTTGCATTTTGTGTTTTTGTATTTGTGTTTTTTATCGAGTTTTGTGGGGTTTTTTCATTTTTTTTATTTTTCTTGTTGCTAGGCAGATTTAAAATGCAAAACGCTCTCATTTCCATTGAAGTCTATAGATCCAAAAATCAACTTTTTAGGTTCAAATAGTCCCTTTCCAAAAAACATTCTGTGTGAAAACACGCTGATGTGAACATGTCCCATAGGAAATCATGTTACATGGACTGTACTGCAGAAAATGCTTAGGTGTGAACCTAGAGTTATGTACTGCCTGTGCTCGGCCCTGTTACACAGATCCTGCTACCACATTGTCAGAAAGTTTGTGGTAATACACTTTACTGCGTTCATTAGTCTCTGTGTGTATTCTCTCCACTTTGGGTACCAACGCTTGGCTTGGCCCACAAATTCCCAGTTTAAATCAGCTAAATACATTCCAGGAGCATCAAAACAAAATGTTTTCAATGTCTTATGGTACATTTTGTTTTTAACCTCCTCGGCGATCTGATTATTTCCGATTTTTTTGTGCTGAAAGCGGTACCATTTTTTTGCATGGAAATATGTACTTTTTATTGTAGGCTGTAATTTTTAGGAATAACTCACTGAAATCTGCCCGAACAAGAGTCTAGTAAACATCCCGAGTAGGATAAAATTTGAAACACGAAATCATAAATTATAATTTAATAAATAATCATAAAAAAATAATAATATAATAATAATACATTTAATTCAATAATATAATCAAACCAAAAACACTGAAATTTGAAATACAGAGGCAAATTCGCACATCGCTGAGCAAAGTCGCAAAATCGTTTTCAGTGTCTGATGACGAATTTCCCCACGAATCATTATCACTCAATTCTGCAAGTGGTTCTGATTTACTATCGCTGTTCTCTAGCTGGTCTAAAACCGCTTTTGATGTAAAGGAATGCTTTTTGGATGCCATGGACTTTTCTAAGTTTCCAGGCAGAAAGAACAGTCAAAATGCAAGCAGGGCACAGGACAAAGCAGTAGGGACAAAATGTATGTGAAATGCATTGAAACAGCAACGTTTTACTATGTAATAGTAATTTTTAAAAAAATTAAATTTTTTAAAATTTCAAATTTGCTGCCGGTTCCGGCACCCGTACGTCCCGACGTCACAGGGACCGGAACATGGAAGCCAGATGCCGGCATCGGCCGGAGGAGATGGCCGGGGACGCTACAGGGGACACATCGTGGGAGCGAAGGACAAGGTAAGTGCTGCAGGGACTCCCAGAGCAACGCCACATGGTAAGCCCGAGTGTAGCTCGTGGTTACCGCTTTTGGTACTGACATTTTACCCCGAGCTACACTCGGGAATACTGCTAAGGAGGTTAAAGCAGTTGCAGTCTGAATAAAAAAGCCTGTCACCTTCCAGCAGAACTCTGCACCCTGTGTGGAAGCAGTGGTCTCTCTGCAGAGCTCTTACACACCCCTATTGAGTCAGACCTATAGCTCTGCAATCAACAAAGCTCATGCTCCCCTCTGATTGGAGAGTTCTTTCTCTGAATCAGCATTGGGTGTATCAGACCTCTGCAGAGAGAATAATACTTCCCAACAGAATGTGGCATGCCGGCAGGGGACAGAATTATCTACTCAGGCTTTCTGATGAAAACAAACTGTAAGCCATTGAACACCTTTTAATGTAGAGAAAAAATTGGTGTGCTGTTCTTTTAAAAATCAATAAATCAAATATGCACAGAGAATGCTACATACAACGTGTATGTATGAACAACATATGAAAAGTATGAGTCCATTCTACATCTACATAATATACTGTGATCTGTGAAGGCAAACACAAATTCACTTGCAAGTGTCCATACAATGTGATCAGTCCACCAAACACAACATAACGGTGTTTGTATAAGTGCTCCAAATCCCAGTGCTGCAAATATCCAGCTCTAAGTGCAGTGCCTGCTCACTTTGATATTAGACCTAAAAGAAGTAGGTCCTAAAGTGCTTAGGTGAGTATCTTTCCGCAGATATCCTTCAGCTCTTTGCAGCCACTTTCACACGTGGTCCCTTTAAGATACCTCACCTTGCTGGTTCCAATGTGAATCAAGGTCTATAAAAGGGAATAGCAATCATAGTGCACCCTGTGTATTGAATAAAAAACTATTTAGTCCTCTACATACAGTACTCAAAATGATATAATAAAATACAGCATTGAATCCAACTGAAACATGGAGTTTTCTCACCAAAACTTCCAAATAGTCAAAGATTCCACCCAACTAGTTTAATGACTAATCCTACGACTTTTTCATTGAACACATAGTTACATAGTTACATAGTTACATAGTTAGTCCGGCTGAAAAAAACAAGACAAAAGTCCATACAGTTCAACCATAGAAAAAAAAAAAAAAAGTTAAAATCCTATACCTACAGTTGATCCAGAGGAAGGCATAAAAAACCCAGCAAAGTATGATCCAATTTGTTCCTGCAGTGGAAACAAATTCCTTCCTGATCTCCCGAAGAGGCAATCAGATATTCCCTGGATCAACTTTACCTATAAATGTTAGTATCCAGTTATATTCTGTGTATCTAAGAAAGAATTCAGGCCTTTTTTGAAGCAATTCACTGAGCTGGCCAGAACCAACTCTTGAGGGAGTCTATTCCACATTTTCACACATTTTGTTTTGAGTCACCTTGAATAAATTTAGGTGATTTAAACAGAAAGTTCAATTGGGCATTAAAGCTGAACTCCAGGATAGTCAAATATTGTCTAAATACAAAAGTTTTGTGTATTCTTACATGAATTGCCATGTGCTTTGTGTATTTCTTCCAGAATTTTGCAGTAATCCAGTGTGAAGCCTTTCCTTAGTGTAGGAGCTTCCGTGATAAAGATCAGTCATGGTTTCTCTCTCTCTGCTTGTGCAGGGTGACTGGTCTTGTATGGTATATGCCCTGTCCTGTTGTTTTCTTCAGGCAGCCTGTAGTGGGTGAAGCTTGCTATCAGGGGTGGACTGACAACTAATGGGGCCCCCGGGCAATAGGCGTTCTGTCAGGGTCCTATCCACGGCAGAAGTCCTGGAAGACCGGGCATTTCTGCCAGTACCCTACATGGCCGCAGAAATACACACATCAGGCCCGGTTTTGGCACCAAACGGCCTTTATAAGGAGGCTCTTCACTCCCTGACTCCCGCTGTCCCACTCTCAGGGGAGTCTGGAACTTAGCCGCAAGGGAAGCCCTCTTTCCATTGGCCTCCATCACTAGGTACCTGATAGGATTATGGGGCCCCTGGGCAATAGGGGATCATGGGGCCCCAGTGTCCTCGCCCACACTTAAACCACACCCAAAAAAGCCTATGAAAGGTACCAGGGGCATCTCATTGGGCCCCTTACTGACCCTGGGCACTCGGGCAATGCCCGAGTTTCCAAATGGTCAGTCCGCCCCTGCTTGCTATATACAGTCCAGTAAAGATGTCACTGCTAATTTTACAAGGTAATATCCAGGTTTGCAAAGGTATTTGATGGCCGTTGAGTGGATTTCTATTCTTTGTGGCTGTTGAGGGATATATTTAAATAGAATATTTTGTTTTTGGAGTTCACCTTTAGTCCTCATGCACACTGGACGTTTTTACAGCTGCTGTTTTTGGCTTTTGTCATTTTTTTCCTATAGCCAGTAAACTCCCTGCTATAAACAGAAAATCGAAGTTGCGCTAATCACAATAATTCCACAGACATTCCAAAACAAATAATGAGATGAGAAGACAATAACACCATAACATAATCAGTAAATGGAAGGAATATGGGAGTGAAGGGAAAGGTGAAATTATAAATGTCCAAAATGAGGACCAAAAGGTGTAACAGACAATAAACCGTGACTGTGGGGAAAATGCATGGAAATTATCAGGGAAGAAATAAAATATTAACTAAATCACAGTAATAGTGGGACACATGAGTCCGTCACAACATACATGAAATAACGTGAATACAACTGATGAGAAATTGAAGCCAAATGTGAAAAATACAAAATGAAGTGCTTAAATATTAAATGGACAAACCACTTATCACAGAAAAATGAAATAACAACGCACAGTGAGGCCAAAAAATGTGACCATGCGACTAAAGGGTCATAACACAATGTGCATAAAAAAAAAAGAAGTTTTTTACATATTTTTTAAACTCCTTACTATGTTATCCTAGGTGTCCATGCACATATTGGCTTAACAATATCACAAGTGTAATAAAAGCGCCAAACCCTTAATACTTTAAAGCAGCAATTCCACCTCAAAGAAACCAAATAAATTTCTTAGTGCTATAACTTAAATAAAAGAATGCGCTAAAACCACAAACTATTCCTAATTTAGTGTAGAAACATTAACATAAAAGTTAACATAAAAGGAACCGCCCCTTGAAGACGTCATTCATGACGAAACTAGTAGGGCTTGGCTTGCTGGAGGCTAACGTCTGTGGAGAGGATTGAGTCACGAGCACTTTAGTGAGTGTGCGGGGAACAGGAGACTGTTATACCATTTGCTGTTTTATGCTGTTATACTGGTGTCGGTGAAGACACCCTTTTTGTGAGTGTAAATCTTTATTAAATTGTTGGATACATTTATAAAAAAACTGGCTGCACCATGATTTTTTCTTTCATTCCCAAACATGACCTCGGTGGAGAGATATAAAAAGAGAGAGTGATATAATGCTCCTGGAACCGTTATATTGAGTGGTGGATACCTACCTTATGGATGATTGTGTAGCTATTGATCATCACACCTGAGAAGTTGATTTATTGCATCTGCTCCCAGAGCAAAAAGCGTTTTTTGCTGATCTAGAGATTGATCAGCATGGAGCTCTGGTGAGTTACCCAACTTTACTTTGGTGGTGGATTTTGGCACAATTTCTTTGAGAGCACTTGAATTTGAAAAGGATTTGTTTGGACATTTGAAGAAATTCAAAATTGGACAATTTTTATATTCACTGATTTAATTATTTAAATTACTTATGCACTAAAAAATAGTTTTGCACATAATTTTGATATTTGTTTATATTAATTGAGAATAGATATATATATCTTTTGCACTAATGTTTCTACACTAAATTAGGAATAGTTTGTGGTTTTAGCGCATTCCTTTATTTAAGTTAACATATTGGCTTAAATCAGCCTTTTTTTGGCTGGACAAAACCCCCAGAATTAGTGGGTTTCTAGAGGAATTTTTTTAGCTGTAAAAATGCTCTAACGCTGGTAAACGCAGAAAAAAAAACACATTAAAATGCGTCAAACCGGCGTTTTGGGGCTTTTTTGAGCAACATTTTTATTTATTTTTTTGTGTAAAAAAACACTAAAAACTGCAAACACAGAAAAATACGGAAAAACACAGCTAAACCCTAATGCATAAACGCTACAAAAATGCTTTAAAATTAGCGCTTTTACACAGGCAATGCTACTGGCGGTATTAAATTGCCCAGTGTGCATGGAGCCTTAAAGTCTGTTTAAATATAGGCTGGAATAAACTTTTAACAGCAAAAGTTATAATATGATACAATTGTGTATTTGACTACACGATCTGGAGCATACTAAAAAAAAAAATCATGTCATCTTTCACAAAAGCATTGGCATATACCTATCCTAAACTATCTCTATATGTGCTGTGTATCTGTGCTATTATGCATGATAATGTACAATAAAACACAATGGGAATTGCAGGATCCTGTCAATGAGCATGTACAGCATGACATTGTCACGAAAAATGACAAAAGTCCTCTAGCGGAACATTGCATCAAATAGTTCCCCAAAGAGACTTATGGTTCAGGTCATATATCATTTGATTTTATCTCAATGTAAAAGTAATGGCAAAAAGTAACAATGTAGATTTACATGAAGTACCCAGGGACATGATGATGAAATTAAATTTCAGAAGTTTCTGTAATATGAATTTCTATCTAAGTAATAGTAGTTTATACAGTATTTCTACTCTTATTATTCACCAGTTGTCTACAATATATACATCTAGGATGATATCAAAGCCTGCTAACTAATTAAAGTACATGTAAATCAAATCAAGGAAATCTCATAGAAGAATTAAAGCCTATATTTACCTAAAACAATACAATATAAGCATAAAGGGAATAACTTACCTTCAGTGTGATGTGTGTTTTTCTTGTGCTTCTGTCTGCCAGTTCAGTAGAAATCTTCCTCCTACATAGACCCCTTCCTTATCCAGTGCCAGATTTATAAGTGGGAAAAAGGGGCAACTGTCCTGGGCCACCTCTATAAAAAAATAAAAATAAAACGGCATAAAAATTTAAAAAAATAATAATATTAAAATAAAATAATATAAAATATATAATAAAAAATTATGGGCAGCACAGTGGCTAGATGGTTAGCATTTCCACCTGGCAAGACTAGGGTTGTTGGTTTGAATCCCAACCACGGCACCACCTGCCTGGAGTTTGAATGTTTTCCCTGTGCCTGCGTGGGTTTCTTCTGGGTACTCCGGTTTCCTTCCACACTCCAAAGACATACTGGTAGGTTAATTGGATCCTGTCTAAATTGGCCTTAGTATGTGTATGTATGAATGTGAGCTAGGGAATTTACTCCCCTTGAGGGTTGGGGACTGATGTGAATGTACAATATATATGTAAAGCGTAAACTGTGTAAATTGACGGCGCTATATACCTGGAATGAATGAATAATAAAAAAAATGACTTTTTTTTGTTAGATGTATCTTGGAAAGTAATATCTTTGTTCTGTCTCTCCAATCTAAGCATTGAAAGTGTGATCTCTGTAACTTACAGTTGTGATGAGTAATAAATGCTGGCCTGGTGGTTCACATCAGAATTAACCATTTCAATACCGGGCAATTTTACACCTTCCTGCCCAGGCCATTTTTCACGTTTCAGCGCTTTCACACTTTGAATGACAATTGCGCGGTCATACAACATTGAACCCAAACTAAAATTTTATCATTTTCTTCACACAACTAGAGCTTTCTTTTGGTGGTATTTAATCACCGCTGAGGTTTTTATTTTTTGCTAAATTAACAAAAAAAGACCAAAACTTTTGAAAAAAAAAACACGTTTTTTCTTTGTTTCTGTTATAAAAGTTTACAAATAAATAATTGCTCTTCATAAATTTAGGCCGAGATGTATTCTGCTACATGTCTTTGGTGAAAATAACCCAAATTAGGATGTATTTTTTAGTTTGTAGGAAAGTTATAGAGTTCACAAACTATGCTATAGATCTGAAAATTGATCAATCCTGAAGTACTGACAGCCAATCTAATTTCTTGAGGTCCAAGAATGTCAGAATAGTACAGATATCCCCCAAATGACCCCTTTTTGCAGAGTAGACAGTCCGACGTACTTCATAAGAGGCATGGCGAGTTTTTTGAAGTTGTATTTTTTGTCATAATTTTTCAGAAATACTGTCACCAGTGCAGTACAGCGTCATCATATAACTGGCATGGCGGTGAACAGGGGCACTGACTGGTGACAGTATGAAAAAAAAAAAAAAATATATATATATTTTTTTTTTTATTATTTTTTCATATTTTACTATGACCAAAGTAGTACAATGTTACCATAGTAACATTGTACTACTTTGGGGAAGTGATCAGTATTTTTTTTTTTTTTTACACAATTTTCTTATAGCAAAGAATTACTTTGCTATAAGCAAGCATTTACCTGAATGAAATCGATTCATTCAGGTTTTTTTTTTGTTTTGTTTTTTGTGCTTAGCTGTGATTTGGTCACAGCTAATCACATGACATGTGCATGTGACCTGCTGTGACTATTCACAACTAGGCACTAGTATACAATGGATGGCATGAATGAAGTCATCCATTGTATACAACTGTCATGTGACCTGCTGTGATTCGTCACAGCAGGTCACATGGTACCGGCAAGGGGGCCGGTACTCAGATCTGTCATCAGCCGTGTTGCACGAACTGTGCATTTGTGCGGGAGGATGCCAAATGGCGTAGACCCGAAAAGCTGGAGCATTTTTGCGGCCGCCAGACGGCTATAGGCCAGGCGGCTAATGGTTAAGATGCTGATAATGTATATAGTGTATTTTCTTTAAAACTATCGTAAGTGATTACATTGCGTATGCTCAAGTTGTAACTTTAAATGGGATCCCAATAATTATCAGCAGCATGGAAATCAGCTTATGGGATTACTGGTTGTGGTCATAATCACAACCAAACCATTAAGCAACTTGTTCACTCCCTTGTTATCTCTCGCCTTGACTATCGTAACTCCCTCTTCATTGGCCTACCTAATCGCAGGCTATCCTCTCTTCAGTCTATCATGAATGCTGCTGCCAGACTCATCCACCTTACTAACCATTCCACATCTGCCTTCCCTCTCTGCCAATCCCTCCACTGGCTTCCTATTGCCCAAATAATACAATTAAAAACATTAACAATAACATATAAAGCCATTTATAAACTCGTTACATCACCTGCAAAAAAATGTGCATTTATTATTTTTGTGAAAAGTTGAACTTATCCTTTAAACTCTTGGGATATTGATCTGGTCAGTTAGGTAGCAGAGGGGACTTTTTGCCTTTTTT